GGAGGGGGAGGGGGAGGAGGAGGAGGAGGAGGAGGAGGAGGAGGAGGAGGGGGAGGAGGAGGAGGAGGAGGAGGAGGAGGAGGAATACAACTAATAAAACTAAGAATGCGACGAATAATAATAATAAGAATAATAAGAAGAAGAATAATAAACAGAAGAACAATAATAATAAACATACGAATCATAATAATAAGAATAAGACGAATAATAATAATACAACTAATAATCATAATAGTAATAAGAATACGAAGAAGAATACGAATAATAAACCGAATAATACTACTAATGCGAATAAGAAGAATAAGGATAATACGGCTAATACTGATAATACGACTAATAATATTAAGAATAATAGTAAAAAGAAGACTAACACGAATAAGACCACTACTACGAAGAATACGAATAATATTACGAAGAATACTAATAATAGTAGTAGTAGTAGTAATAATAATACCAATATGAATAACAATGATACTACTAATAATAATAGTAGTAATACTAATGATAACAATTCATAATAATATTAATGATAATGATAGTAATAGTAATAGTAATAATATTAATACTAATAATACTACTAACACTAATACTACTAATAATACTACTACTAATACTAATACTAATACGAATACGAATATTACTACTACTACTACTAACACTAATACTAATAATAATAACACTACTGATAGTACAAATAATACTAATACTACTAATACTAATACTAATACTAATACTAGTAATAATAATATACATATTATTTATACTATTGATACTATTACTAATACTAGTACTAATACCAACACTCATAATAATATTAATAATAGTAATACTTGTAATACTATTAGTCGTATTAATCGTAGTAATACTCGTAGTAGTAATACTACTAATACTACTAATACTACGAATACTACTGATACGAATACTAATACGAATACGAATACCAATACTAATACTAATACTAATGCTAATACTAATACGAACACTAAGACTAATACTAATACTACTAATAATACTAATAATAAGAGTGCGAATAATAATGCTAATAATACTAAGAATACGAATACTAATAATATTAATAATAACACCTATAATAATAATAATACTAATACTACTAATAATAATACTAATGATAATAATAATTATACTACTAGTAATAATAATACGAATACTAATAATACTATTAATACTATTAATAATAATAGTAGTAATAGTAATAATTATTATTATTGTTATTATTATTATTATTATTATTATTATTATTTTTATTACTATTATTATAACAAGACGAAGAAGAAGAGGAGGATGATGATAAGGAGGAGGAGGAGGAGGAGGAGGAGGAAGAGGAGGAGGAGGAGGAGGAGGAGGAGGAGGAGGAGAGGAGGATAGGAGGAGGAGGCGGGAGGATGGAGGAGGAGGAGGAGGTGGGAGGAGGAGGCGGAGGCGAGGAGGCAGGCGGAGGAGGCGGAGGAGGAGGAGGGAGGGAGGGAGGGGGGAGGGCGGGCGGGCGGGCGGGCGGGCGGGCGGGCGGGCGGGCGGGGGCGGGCGGGAGGGAGGGAGGGAGGGAGGGAGCGGAAGGGAGGGGGGAGGGGGTGAGGGGGGGCGGGGGGGGGGGGTGGGGGAGGGGGGGATGGGGGAGGGGGGGAGGGGGGGAGGGGGGGAGGGGGGAGGGGGGGAGGGGGGGGGAGGGGGGGGGGGGGAGGGGGGGAGGGGGGGAGGGGGGGAGGGGTGGGGAGGGAGGGAGGAGGGGAGGAGGAAGGGAGGAAGGGAGGAAGAGGGGAGGAGGCGGATGAGGGCGGAGGAGGGCGAAAAGTAGGAGGGAGGGAGGGGGAGTAGGAGGGCGAGGGAGGAAGGGGAGGAGGAGGGAGGACAGGAGGGGGATGAGGGAGGAGGGAGGAGGGATGAAGGAGGAGGGAGGAGGGAGGACAGGAGGGCGGAGGAGGCGGAGAGAGGGGAGGCGGAGAGAGGGGAGGGCGGAGGCGGAGGGCGGAGGGCGGGAGGCGGCGGCGAAGGGCGGCGGAGGGCGGCGGACGGCGGCGGGGGACGGCGGAGGAGGGCGGAGGAGGCGGGGGAGGAGGGCGGAGGCGGAGGGAGGGGCGGGCGGAGGAGAGGGAGAGGAGGGAGGCGGGAAGAGGGAGGGCGGAGGAAGCGGAGGAGGGAGGAAGGAGGAGGGAGCGGAGGCGGAGGAAGGAGGAGGGAGGAGGAGGAGGGAGGAGGGAGGAGGGAGGAGGGAGGAGGGAGGAGGGAGGAGGGAGGAGGGAGGAGGGAGGAAGCAGGCGGGAGGCGGGAGGC